CATTCCTGCCCCTCCCAGGCATTCAGCTCTTCTTTGGTCATTGGTCACTGACCCCTGGGGTAACCTTGCACCTATTACTGCTCCTCATAGACAGTTAGTGAGTTATATTTTGGAGGGAAAAAGCTAGAAATAATTTCATCGAAAACTCCTCCCATATTTCCAGCTATGTCACATCACATTTTCCCCACCTGCTTAATATTATTCCTGAAACAACTTTATACAGGCTGGACAGAACACTGCATAATTTTTGCATTTGCTTTGGGTTCCTCCCGTCTGGCGCACCTTAAGTATCTTATTTCCCTCCACCTGCTTGTTCTTTTCATTTGTTCAACAAACATCTAACTTTTGGAAGCCTGTGTGTCAGACGGTGTGCTAGCTTTTGGGAGTCAGAGGACTAACACAGCCCTGTTCACAGCAGCCGCTGTCTGCCAGGGAGACAGGTAGGCGCGGTGGGAGCCGGGAAGGCCTAGGCCTCCAGGCGCTTCTGCAGTCAGAATGACGGGGGCCCGGTGATTATTCCGGAGACTTTGGAGTCGGGCTGGGAAGCAGTTGTGAACACCTGAGGTTTTTGCCTGGTATTCAAGTTGATGATGTTGTCATTTGACGGGAGTGGGCAGAGGAGGGAGCAGAGCCAGTCTGGTGAGGGCGGAGGGAGGGGTGGTGCTAAATAATAACGGTGTCACCCTTTATCAGACTTCTGTGCCCAGCATTGTGTGCACCGGAGCATCTGGCGCTTCAGCGAATATCCGACTGCCTAGGTATTCTGTTCGAACGCAGATGAGAACTCAGTGGGTTTGGGGTGCGGCCTAAGGGTCTGCCTTTCTGACAAGCTCTCAGATGATGCCCGTGCTGCTGGCCCTGGACCACCCCAAGCAGCACGAGGGTGCAGTCCATCCAGGCAGGTATGCAGGGGAAGTGCCACGTGGGGCTCGGGAGTGAGGCGGGGACCCGGCTGAAAGGTTTGGGAACGAGCTGACTGAGAGCAGGCAGAGCATGTGAGGCATGGAGAAGCCTGGCCCAAGCGGCTCCCTGGCGAGATGAGAAAGAGCCATGCAGGCCTGGTTTGGGGAGCCTCCTGGGGAGGTCACATAGGGCGAA